AGCGTAATATTTTGAGATCGAGTTTGAACTCGAGTTCGATTTGGCTAGTTCGAACTCGACTCGAGCTCAATCAATATCAAACTCGAGCCGCTCGTGACCGGTTCGGTTCGTTTGCAGCCCTACTTACTACTAAAGAGTAGAGTTTTAGTTATCTATTATATTTTTTTATTACTTAAACCCATTGGTGTAAAGTCATCTAACACTTTTCGGGTTTTTATCAAACCCATAGCTATTCCCCAATTTATCATGGTGCATGACAGTGTTGCTGAAAATTTAAACGAAACAGCTCCTAAAAAGTCTCCCCTAATTGGACAAAAAAAAAGAAAAGAAAAATATTAAGATGTTAATTTTTGACATTTTGCTTTCTTCCCACCCCCCCCACCCACCAAAACACAACTAAAAAACGTCCCTATCTACAGCTAAATCTTTTTTTTTTTTTTGTGATGCATAAATTTATAATTCGTTAAGCATTAATTTTTTTGAACAAATTTCATAAACAAACAAAACGTTATAGAATGGTTCTTTAACTTGTCAAATATTGAAGTTATGCTTGTGTTTGTTTTGTAGATTCGTTGTTGTCTCTTTGGCTGCAAGGCAATTTTATTTTATTCTTTTGCTATACGAATAATTTATGGAAAAAGTTTATGTTCTTATTCTAAAAGTAAGTAATTATTGACCCTATATATGTTTCTTGTTTCTTCGAAATTTTTCTTCAACGTTGCAGTGCTGAATCTGCGTCGTCTGTGGATTGTTTGGTAGATACGTTGATGGTTTAAATCAGAAATAAGTGCCCTAAAGTTTACGGACTTTGATTGTCACTTTTTACATAATGCACCATATATGGTTAAATAGCATGCGAAAATGGTCCACACCTTGAGTACGAGTGATGACATAGTCAAGGAAATCCAGAGAGGAAGGACAGCCCTCCATGCAAAGGGGCTCGCATTCTCCTATATTATCAGCCCGCCATATATAGCTGCCACTCCATTATTATTTGACACATTTATGGAATGGAAAAAGGAGGATAGATTAAGCCATCGGCACCCCAACCCATAGGGAAAGATGGAATCGAGAGCATGATATAGTAGCAACATTTGCAACAAAGTTGAAAATTGGACCACTTCTCCCAGGTCAATTAGAGAAGAAAGCGAAGAAGAGCAGCAGCAGCAGAATCGAGCACGCGGCTGTCCTCAGCCTACCATCCTAAAATTTCCATACCCTATAAAGCCTAATGCACTGGAGGAGTCCGGCCTTTCTATACTGATATAAAACAACTGGGATCAGCTTCCCATGTTGCAACTCTTTTTTCTGTTTGTCCTCTTTACTGATTATTGTCATCCATCACAATGAGGTGAGGTCATAATTAAGCAATGCATGTCTTACCTATTTCATTATGGAGTTCAACAGCTATATACATGACCACAAGACGAAAAATCTCAAGTTTGTCTGCTAATGTTTTGATCGATTTGCTTGCCTCAAATTTCAAACCAAAGAATGGAATGAAAAATTTCCTAACCTGTGGCCAGCTATTAAATTATTACCCTATGCCCTCGAATGGTATATGCATTTTCTTTTCTTTTTTTAAGTTCTTTTTTCTCATTAGTGATTGTGAATTCCAAGTCTGACGATGCAAAACTCAAGAAATCATTCAACAATGATTGGTAACGTCTGACTACGAGTTCCGCTCCTAATACCTAAGGAATACTAACTCACACATGTTGTGTGGTAGGAAAATTGAAGGACGTCCGGAAGACTAACCTGTTTTGTTCTCATTCCCAACCTATAGATCAATCATTTTGAGATTAAAAAAAAAAAATTTAAACTACTTGGTATGGAATATTTACGAAGTTGAATAAATTTATTTTCTAACTAAGCTAATGAAGCATGCAGAAACGGAACTATAAACAATTCCAAGAGGAAAGGCTGCACGAATGAATTTGTGACTACCCTATTAATTACGAGCATCAAATTGAGGATTTTATTCTTAGCGTAGAAATAGAACTACAATGACCTCTTGTGAATTGTTAATCTAAAGCATTAATACTCTATTAGACAATCCACAAAAAGAAAAGGGGAATATAAAAAGAGAGAGGATATTTACATCTCTCTAAAATTCACATACAAGTTTTGTTGTATATTCTTCAGTCAGATAGCCGCCACAAACGAAAAGGCATGCGGTAGTATGCGCTCGACCCTTGGATGACATTTTATCCAGTCCGCACCCATTTTTTTTATTTTTCTCGTTTGTGGGTCAAAATTTGTAGCATTCATTTGTAAGAGAGCATTGTAAAGGGGGCCAAAAAGCTTTTGATTGGTCTATAGATCAATTACACCACTTGAAAATAATAATGACAATTTGTTCTAACTGCGAAAGATTCCAACAAAGGACGGTTCAAATTTTCAAAAATTAAAAAGAAAACAAAAAGAAAAAGTGCGAAGGCAATGAACAAAAAGTTTTGTTTTGTTTCAAGTAACATATCGCTTCTCTTTTTCCATCAGTCCGGGTCGATTTCTTGAAATCGCTAGTAGTTTTTTCTTTTTCTTTTTTTTTTTTAACGTACCCTTGATTTGACAGAGAAAAGCAAAACAAATTGTTCTTGGCTTAAAAGCAGGATATGCAGAAAGGTTAGTGATATTGGAAAACTAAATAAACAGCAATAATGTTTAATTCCCCATATGTTCCATCTGGAGAGTATGCAAGTTGAGCAACATATTTCTCTCCACTATCAAGTTTAGAGTCCGAATCCTAGGACTGGCACTTGAGAGTTGGAAGAGTATGAGAAGGGGCGGGAGGTTAAAATAAAATTAAAACAAAGAACAAAAAAAAAAAAAGTTGTTAAAACAGATGTGTTGAAAACTGAATTATCATAAAAAAGGGAGCACAAAAACATCCAGAGGTATTGTGGCATCAAACCTGATTCGCAGGCCAGTGTCAAGCAATTGCAGCTTTAATGTATGTACTTAATAATCTCACAACGTCGTTCCAGCACAACGAATTTACAAGCATGCAACGTATATAAACATGAAGACACGGTACCAAGAGGTTGATAGCACATGTTAGTTACTAGTCCGATCTTGCTCAACGATTAAAATGACAATTCAAAGGGGTGTTATTAATCAACAAATGCTTGGCCTTCATTCAGATTTTTAATGCACTTCTCACTCCTAGTTTCTCAATTTCAACATCTACACATTTAGTGGAACACTGGAAATTCTTAGATGATCATCGTTTATCTGTTTTCTTATTTTTAGCGGGGTCCGTTATGGATAGCTGGAAGAAATCACCAAGCTTCTACTTGAGGTGGAGAGCATGAAACCACATTCTGCTATTCGCAGACAGCTTGTTCATCCAACACACAATCCCCGTATGACCTTGAGGTATGCAAGTTTTGGAATGCAGAACCAAAGAAAGCTTCTAATACAATCATCATATACAACATAAAGGTCAAAGTGAACAGATCTCCCCATGAACTCAAGGCCGGGATTATTACATCATGTAGAAGTTCTAACGTAATCTTTTATTCCAACTTTACTCTTTCGCAATGGCACTCAAATATGCACTGATCCAAGTGATCATGTACTTTTTTAATGTGTACGTTACTTGGACATATAAAAAAAAAAATGTTTCCTCCAAATATCTCATGAAACTAAAGGGCAACAGTCATTCATCCCTCAGGTTTCTATGCTTTCCTTTTATAGTATAGATTTCAAAAGTTGAAGGCAGATCCCATCTAGTCTTTTCATGTACATCAACTGAGAGCACTTCTCTTCTTGATGCCCATAGAACACAATACTATTTTGCAAGAACTCAAAGCAAGCATATGTGCCCACTTACTACACATTTTATGGCTACTCCAAGATATTCTTTGCTATTTGTTCAAGATCGCAAGTGGAAAATGCTTCCAGACCCCCCTCCAATTTTCCCATTAAAGACTAGCAGAAAGATCCAATAGGATGCATGCAAAAAGGAACTGGAAGTGCTGTGCCAATCCGTTAAAAGAGTGTATTGTCCTAATCTGATACAAGATAAAAGAGTACTTGGTATGGGGCAGAAGTTTCGAATCTAGGAAAGCTTATTCAATTTAGGTTTGTATACGTCAACACCAAATCTAGCAAACTATGGAAGGCAACTTTAATCTGCTCGTATGATGTGTACAACTTTAACCTACATCAAGATTTATAATTTTGAGGAACCAAACTTATTAAGCTCTACTTACACACACACACACACTCGCGTATATGTCTAACATCATAAGCATTATATCTCTGTGCATTTGCCAACATTAAAGATTAGCATTTAGGATTCAACAGGTCCCATTTTTCTACAGGTCACATCCATGCACGTTGCTCCACCTAGTCTCCCTCAAGTTTCTATTACTGGAGAAGATTTGTGTTTAGCAAACTTTTCATTAAATCATCCTACACGTATATCAAACAAAAACAAGGTGAGAGAGGAGCGAGATTTCTTGACTCGTATACTTTTGGGACTGTGATGACAAACTGCCATTTGCCACTGCATGGGAGACTTGCAGAGCTGGACCGCTTCTAGTACCCCGTTTTCTCTTCTGATTTTCAACGGTGCGCATATTATAATGTATATTATTTTGTTGCATGAAACATGGATGGCATGTAGCGAACTAGGATATAAAAAATCTTGGTCCAAAACGAACATGAAACCAGCTATTTAGTCTCAATTTTTCCGGCAAGGAATCAGATAAAAGGGAAAAAAGCAGATGCAAGTTCAATACAAACGAAAAAAGCCAACGAAAAATCACACCCGAAACAGGTAAACTCATAAAGAAGGAAAAAAACCCACAGAATATGCCTACTGTGCACACATCCACATGTTGCATATTATACCAACCTTTCGAAATGGGAAAAAACAATCCCAAAAAAATAATTATTATTAAAAAAAAGTATCAAACCAACAAGAAGATGAACAATAACAATACTAGTAATATTAATAGAATGAAAACGATCAAAATGGGAAAGAAATTCGAAATGGAAACCAACATAACCGAAATGTCATGGTACATTTTTGTTACTCATCTGTTCTTCCTTTTTTTGTCCCAACTACTTCGATGGGGGATGTCAATGGTCAATACACTTAATGAAAAACAACATCAGATCAATGTATACTGAATGCAGTCAAGAAGGGAAAGCTCTTTAGCCTCAACTACCAGTTAGCACTTTGTTTTCTTTTTTTTTCGTTTTAAGACCTTGGTGGTGGAAAGAATTGCGTACCGGCCATGAAAGCACTTAGTGGAGTTGGATAAATGGAAGGGTCAAGCATAGTGAGAGCAGGGTTGGTAGAGGTGACTGCAGCGTTGGCGGTGGCCGCGGCGGCTGTCCCGATAAGATTGAGTGGTGGTTGCGGATCATGATCATGATGATGACCATGACCTCCACCGCCGCCTGAGGAAGCTTCGCCAGCACCAGCTCTTCCACTAGTAGCGTAGCGGCTTTCAAGGCCTTGATCGTAGAGAATTCCCTTGAAAACGTGACCTCCTATGTTAACAGCTGTCTGATACGCGTACTGTTCTTCTGCATCATCCATTGCACTCACTCTTACGCACCTAAATGAAGCGGGATAATTCACTTCAGCCGGAAAGTTACCCACGTCTAACCCTAGTCAAAAAAACAAGCCAATAAAAATCAGAACCCACAAAAAAATGGCCTTTAAAGAAAAAGGAACTGCAAATTTTGGAAGTGCAAAGAAAGCATTTTTACTAGAGCAAGAACAAGACTTTTTGGTCAGGTTTACTCGGTAACAGTAGTAAAAGGAGGAGAATGAAAAGAAAGGCAGGAGAGAAGACATGGAAAGAAAAATAAAGACAAAAGGGTGAGTGACTGACCATGGAAGGTGGACTTCATTGATCGCACGCAAAGGATATGAAGATATGATCTCTTTGCTGGCTGTGGTGGTTGTGGTGAGTATGACTTCTTATTATTAATAAATATATGTACCAAGTGTTGCTGAGAATTTTGTTGGTATAGAGAGTATTTTCTCTCTTTCCTGTAGAGATATCTCTCTATAGAGCTAGCATTTACAGTCTCTGATTGAGAGTGTGCAAGTGCTTTGTTGTTTCTTCCTCCTAATTCCTACATACCTAATACCTACTACTACTAGTGTGCCTTTAAGATAAGAAAAATAGTTGTATCTAGATGAATGAAACGCCCATCAAATCCACTCCGTGGAGCTTTGGTTGATATTTTGCTGGAATGTTTTTGAAGAAAACAAACGTTACCTGAAGTGGAAGTAGGCAAACGAGTGCAAGCAAGAGAGGAAGAGCCCCCTCCTCCTCCGCCTGGATTTTCTCTGAGTCTTTTGGGGTTATCACCTCTGATCAGGCTCAATTGTTGTTGATTTTGTTGTTGCTGCTGTTGTTGAGTTTGCAGAGCAGAGACTTGTTGTCTTTCACGCCTTTTGGCAGCAGGAACCCAAGTACTCTTAACGTGAGTTTGGCACTGAAACCCTCGGCTCTTACAACAAGTTCTGCACCTCATATGTGGACAGTCTTTCTTAGCTTGATTCCCACAGTCTTGGCAATTCATAGTAGCACCACCACCACCACCACTACTACTGCCACTACCAGTTCCTCCTCCTCCTCCGTGCCTCATCACCCTAAATCCTGCTGATCTATAGGAAGAATCATCACCAATACTACCACTACCACCACTACCGCTACTGATGATCCTCCTACTGGGACCCACTGAGAAATCCACATCCTGCCCAACTACTTGATGATGATGATGATGATGTATTCTTTGTTGATGCAACTGGTAGTATTGCTGCCATAGCTCAAAACCCTTGTTATAGATCTCTTCGTTCTTGAACAGATAGAAGCTGCTATTATTGGTAGTATCTTGCTGCTCTTGTTGCTCTTGCTCTTTCCCACCACCTAGTGAAAAAAACCCAGACATTTTCTACCCCTAGTGAGAAAGACACCACCAGCTAACTCTACCCTCCTGCTCCTCAATTCTCCAAAAAAATCCATAGCCCAACTCAACCTCTACGCCCTAGACAAGAATTTGGTATGCTGTGAAACATCAAGTTCTTTTCTTCCCTTTCTTTTTATTCTTTGGGGTTCGGACTAGTAGGTTGGTTTGAATAAGTGGGAAGTGGTAGCAGTAGCAGTAGTAGTAGTAGTAGTAAAGTTGCAAGGGTGTGTGTGTTTTGCGGGTGTCTTTTGTTTTTAATGCAGCTTTTCAGTTTTCAGGACAGGCTTAGGGAAAATGTTTTAAGGGCGGGGGTGAGAGAAGAAAGAAAGAAAGAAGAAAGAAAGAGAAAGAGAGAGAGAAAGGAGGGAAGGAAGCAGGACGGTTTTCTTCTCTGAGTCTTGGAGTTGGGGACTTGCTGCTGCTAACTTGAATTCCTTGTCTTTCTTTGAAGCATTAAAGTCACAGCTCCTGCAAACGCCGCCATGGCCTCTGAGACCCCTCTCTGCAACCTCAATTTAAGACAACCAACAGTAATAGTAGTACCAATATTTCCTCTCTATCTCCTTCTCTCTCACGCACTCACGCACTTACATGTACAGGTATCACACTTAACAACACTGGATGAACTGGCTCTTTGAGCCTGCAGGCACAACAAAATCTTACCACTTGCTTCTACAGTTCTCTTGCAGTTTGCAACAAAAATCTCTATCAATGAAGGATGAATCCATGACGATCGGACGGTCAATGCTTTCCCACGTGGCGAAGCATCAGCTTTTGCTTATTCGTCCTTGCACCGGAAAACACGCTCTACTTTTTTTGTTGCCTCTGACCCCCTTACCATAATAATTAAGATGGATTTTACTATTAACTTCCCAACGGAGCCAAAGCCATCTCCTAAATGAGGAAACGGTATGCTACGGGTAACTTTACTAATTCTTCCCTCACAGACCAATCAATGGAGGATGATTAGGGGGTCGTCAACTAGACACTAGGGCAATGGAGTGTGTGGTAAGATTTTCAAGTTGATATTTGCTTTTCTTTTAGTTGGAATTTTTAACCATTTACATACACATGATAGGTGAACAAGATGCCAAAGCTAAAGAGTTGATAAGAATTGATCTTGCAGGTAAGATTTTCAAGTTGATGAGAAATTTCAGATCAATGAATATATATATATACACACTAAAATTTGGCTTGCATGAATGAAAACATCTCAAGAAGTTTTTCTTTCAATTATTATTACAGAGTAATAGCATGAGAGAGATATATTCATGGCCGAACATTAGGATGATAGAGGAAGAATTCTCGAATTCAGAAAACTGCAATGGTAAGCAGCATATGGTTGGCCTTAGCCTCATACTAGTAAGTATTTTGCAGAATTATTTCTAGAATTAGAGAATAAACGCCTCGTATTCCTCTCTTAACTCTTTGAGTAATCATTTTAAGATTGACTCCATTCTACATCGAGTTTGGTTTTAGGAATATTATTGATGGGATCAATGAAGAAATGTAAAGGCAGTGCTCTATTTCGAGGTCAACTCCCATTGACAGTAACAGAAGTGATGTAACATACAAGAAGAACAAGAGAAGATCGAGGGAGAAAGAAGGGGGGGTCCTTGACTTGGGAGTTTGTATGCACCAGCAACAATAATGCATGGATCAATTAATAATGTTCTTTTATGGGTATAACAACAGTGGATCTCTGTAAAGGCCATACAGAGAATTGAAAGATCCGTCTCCATGAAATTTGCTTCGCTTTATGTACGCAAACGCAAGTTTCCACGTACTCTCTCCTATGCAGTATGCACTCCACACCAATATATAGGGTAGGCACAAAGAAATTAAAATTACAGTGCTCCGTTTGGATTGTTTATTTTTTAAAAAAGCAAATTTTTCGTTTGAATTAGCTGTTTTTTGAAATGTTTTTAAAAATTTTGCTATAGAAAAGTATATTTAAGAGTATATTTTGGGATATTTTTAGAAATTATTTTGGGATATTTAAGAGTATAAAAGTTTCTAGAATATATTTTGAGATATCTTTTAAATTTTAAAAAAATTTAAACTAATTTTTAGATTACCTTTTAGAGTACTTTTTAAAAAATTTTATTGTATTTGAAAAACTAATTTTTGAAAAATACTTCCATCCAAACAGAGCCTTTTCATGTACAATATTACAGAAATATACAAATAAAAATAATATCAAAAATAACCTCAAAAATATATTTTAAAAAAACCTTAAAAACAATCTCATCTACAATAAAAGTTTTCATCTATATTGCTACAGTAAAATATTTCAAAAACACCCTAAAAAACAGTTAATCCAAGCAGAAGAAATCAAATCTAAGGTAATCAAGTAGTATTAATGGAAAGAGTAGCAATCTTCTGCGATGCATATGGATATGGTTTTGTAGAATGCCCATGTGGTGGTAGCACTTCTTTTTAATTTAATACTAGTATGAAGCAATGGTGTAAACTGTAAAGTAGGATTTTTCATATTGCTGGAAACAATGTCGACATATTATATTGTTAAATTCTTTATTCTGCTGCCTAAGCCTCTTCGTCCAACAAAAGACATCGGAAGATCAGCATCATTTCACGAGTCCAAGAATTGCTTTACTTAGGCCTGTCAACGGGCCGGAATTCATTATTTCAGACCCGAATCCGGCGCACTATATCGGATCTGGATCCGACCCGTTTACCCGACGGATCTTTTACTCTATGTTCTGGATTCGGGTCTACCCGAAAAAAAACTAACAAAATTTATAATTCCTAATAAAAATGAGAAAAAAACATATATTTAAAAACTAATTTCTAACTAATACAAAAAAAATCAAATTAACCTTACTCAAATACATCACCCTAATCAATTATATTGATTATGATCCGGGTCCAATTATATTGATTACTCAAATACATCATCCTAATCAAATTATATTAATAAATATATATTTTAAATTATTAATCCATCTATATCCGGATCCGGGTCAAATACGGGTCGGAATACTATATTCCATATCCGACCCGTTTTTTGTTTGACAAAACGGGTCCGGATCCGGATCCGGGTAATGGAATTAAATCCCTACCCATACTCGGATAAATTTGACGGATCCAATCCGGACCCTAGTCTAGACCCGAACCGTTGACAGCCCTAGCTTTACTCTCATTCCCTCTTATTCTTCTTCTTCTTCTTCTTTTTTTCCAACCCTTTTATGTGAAATTGGTGCGTGACGTATCAATCTGCCCATGCATTATCCTCAGGTTGTGAGTCTCTAACCAAATCATAGAGAATGAACATGGATGGAATCATTAAGACCGGTTGAGAAAATTTCTCTTATTTTCCATTGAGTTATATCACAAAATTTCTTCTACAAATTTGATCATTATAGCGTAGATCAAAATCCCATTAGAATGCTGAAACAAAGAGTATATTATGAACTGAAATCATCACGTCAAGTTATAATTCTTTCGTATGGTAAAGGTGTCTATGTGTGCTACTTGCTATTTTGTGTTAGCGTTGGCGTTATTCCTTAGAAAACCAAAAGAAATTTGCTACTTGTTCTTGAGCCTACTCAAAAACAATAAATAACGAAGAAGAAAGAATATGTATGTACTATGTACGTGTGTGTGTGTATATATATATATATGTATATAAACATAACACAATGGAATCCAAACAATTTCAAATAGTAGCAATTTACTTTTGTGAAATAAAATTGGAAATCCAAATTATACAATTGGTCAGATCTGATGATTTGTGATTCACATTATATATTTATATATATATATATATTTTTTTTGTAACTCTGTTAAATTCAATAATTTTTCAAATCAGACATATTTTATGTATCATGCATTAAATAAACCGTGTTGGATGATTTCTAACTAGTTTTTTACTCATACTATTCGTTTTGTTTTATAAAAAATAATAATAATAAAACACACATACATAAAGAAATAATTATTGAGATAATTATGTTGTCTAGACTTTCTCTATCTCGTTATTTCATTCATTCTGCTCCCCATCATTAGTCAAAATTGTCGGGATAACGTTGTCAATAACTTTTTCAAGCTGAGTTAACTTATTAACATCTGTTCGATAAGACAACTTAGAAGTTGCCAAGGACCAACCTTGAACTTGAACTCCGACTTGGCTTAGTGCTAATAGTATAGCCTTGTGACTGGCTCTATAATCTATATATATACGTATATATATATATATATATATATATGTAATCTGTCACGGGCGCCATCCTCATAATTATCAGAATGGAAGAAATTATTTCTCTTTTGTCAGCTTTAACAAACACGTGACATCCCCTAATTAGTGGCCATATTTAGATTTAATTTTTCAATAATATATACGAGACCGACGACGGCCCAAATCCAGCCGTAGCTTGCCCCCGAGGTCTTTGACGAAAATCAGAAATCAGTTTAGAAGAAATCATCAAGAATCAGTGGCCGCATCGGATCAATTTTCAATACTAATCTAGGCTAACCAAAACGTGAAAAGCACTAATTAGTTGCCATAATTCAATGATGAGCGTTTGTTTAGTAGCAGTAGTAAATAGCGATTCAAATTGGATATTTATATTTTTAGGGGCCCGAGGTTCTTCTTTTCACTATTTGACCCTCTGCCCTCTCTCATGGATACAAATATCTGCCTGCGACCCACATTATTATTATTATATTTCTGACCAATTATTCTTAGGGAAACCTTTTGCATGATAGATAGCGCGCGACTTGACAATAGTCATCGATTCTTCTTTCCCCAGAATTATATATATATATATATATATGTATATTTATGTAGTCATCGATTCTTGTGGCTGCCTTCATTTTTTTTTTTAAACGAACTTTCTTTCTTTTTGTCCTTTTTTGTGGTGGAAGAAAGCTTCTGAAAGCGTTTATTCCACGGGTAATTAATTCATTCATGCTCTCATTTCAGTAGATCAATATACCCCCCTTCCAAAAAGTTCAGTATTGTTTGTTGACTGTCATTTTCTGCCGGAAAATTGCGTCGTTTTCCGTGATCACATTTTTCTATTACTTTTTCTCCTCACATACATCAAATCACTACAGTAATTTTTTCATAAAAAATCATGAAAAATGCAATCCAAACGGGGTTTCATGATTTTTCATAGAAAAATTACTATAGCGATTTGATGTATGTGAGGAAAAAAGGTGATAGAAAAATGTGTTCACGGAAAATAAAACATTTTTTCGGCGAAAAACAGCAATCCAAACAAGGCCTGCAGGCTCGAATCGAAGTGAGGCAGACTGCTAGGATATGATGATTTATTGATATATCCCATAAAATCTGCCCGTGCCAAAAAAGAACTTTGATTATTACTAGTACTAGTATTGTTGTCTGAAAATCGTAGCCATCTCCTTCCTCTGAGGATTGCAATTTGAGTCCAATTGCTAAATCCCAGAAAATGGGGAATCCCTTTTCCAAGACT